GCGCTGCTGAACTCCATTTGCAATTGAATGTATGCGCTGTACACCTAAGGCTACAAAAAGGAGACGGGGCCAAATCTATACGGGAAATGTTTACCCTGACGTCACACACAATTACTAGGTCGACGAATCACCACGCAATAAAATCATTTACAATATCAAACTGTTAGACAGCTATAGACTACATGAAAACTTACTTTTACATGCAAGGTTGTCTTGTTTAATCCCAAACAGCAAGATATGAATGATTCTTTTATCGCAATACACTTGTATATGTGAAGTAAAATCGTAAAGTTTTTACACAGTGTAAGGCTGATCAACTCTGCAGTACAGTTGAGTGCACAATGAAAATATCGACAATTTTATGTGATTAAAAAATTATGTTTCATTATCAGGATGGCGACTTTTTCTACATAATTTCTATCAGATAATTGTATTTATGGTTTATAAATACATATTGAGGATTAGATTTAATGTTTAGATTTGTCACCCGATGCGGCAGTCACGTGATTTAGCACGTTTAATTGCAGTATTGATGTCACCTATAATTTGACTAGTAAAAGGGTATAACCAAGTTAAAACTCTAAAACCAAGGTACAGTTTCAATACAAATTATAAAATGTGAAAGCAAAATAAAAAATTGAAATTCATTCTTTGTAAATCATCATAGAAATTCTATGCAGTAAGAATATAAAAAAAAGAATCGTTTTTCTCATATGCCCCCCCCCCCCAAATGCTAAATATGACGTCATTAACTTGTGTATTTCCCGTATTTTCTTAAAAAATTGCGGAAGACATCAATTTTCAATTGAATTATCTTTCAGAAAGCATACTCTGCCACCGTCATCCAAAGAGATTTTAAGATTTGTGATTTTCAACGCAGTTTACATAACATATCCAAATATTGAAGTAGGAGATGGTGGCAGACACTACTTTCTACTGGAAAAAAGCACATAAAAAAGTCATTCTGAGACTTTTCTACAATAAACTAAAAAATGTACTAAATTAATGATGTCATCTTTCCAGAATGGTCCTCATTCATGCCATATTCTTTAATGATAGATCATATTTATCTACTCAGCTAATTTTAAAGCCAATATATCATTACTTTTTAAGAACATTGAATTTTTAGGGTACAATAAAACTAAAACCTTACCTTCTTCTATAGTTTATTAATACTTGCAACATGCGCTGTATTTCTTTTTCTGGAAAGTGCTGCGATCCTATCAAGTTTCGGCAAATTAATTGCTAAAATTATATTTGTATGACCGGATGCTGTATTTTTTTTTGTTGGGCAACGACATGAAATATTGATATGAATGAATTATTTTCAAGATTTCATTACGATTGCAGCACATTTCAGATACATTAATACATGTTCTTCTAAAATTTATTTGTGAAAGCTTACTATGATCCATTGAGTATACATGTATGACCTTGCACTAGATCTATTTATGAAGACCTCACATTAGCCTCCGATGTATTTGCATACAAATATACGACAGTATCACTTAAAGAGGAAATATACATAAAATATGTTAATAAAATCGTGAAGAAGAAATCGAAGCCAAGTTAATGGCCTACAATTTAACTGTAAATAATATTTCATTTAAATCTAGAATACATTTTTCGTTAAGAAAATATCACTTGATTTGCCTTTACTGCATGCAATTTGCATCAGGTTTTAAGAAATGATGTTACATCGACAGATGCATTGCGATCAGTGACTTGTTTATAACCTGTTATGTGGGATTTAATTAATGAAAAAAAAACAGAATGCTGTGGAAAATTTTGATGTAGTTTAATGGTTTTCCAAGGGTAAAAATAGCAAATCACCTCATTTTGTGGCATTTTTCAGAATGTTTGTCGGGTATGATGTCATACTAAATATTTTCCACTACAAATTAGGGCCCGCCTCCTTCAAGTTGCTGTGACTTTGCTGCGTTACATTTCATAATTCGAAAAATGCCTTTTGTAATCAAATAAATAGCATTTGCAGATAAATAGAAAAAAAAAGAAAACGTCGTTAACTTGGATGCAATGTCCATTTTACCATCTTATTCATTCACTGTCCGTATCTTCTGTAAACAAGTGATATTATTGATTATATGTATGCAGATTCATTGAAAAAAGTTATGGAGGGTCCTAGTTAATCGATTTAATGCAAGGACACATTCTCCATGTATCATGTCAAGTTTTAACACATAAACTTAAGAAGCATTAAAATATTTGAGAAGTGCTGCACATTTCATGAAATCTTGCGAAGAAATAAAGTATATCCATATAAAATGTTGTTGACCAGCAAGATATTCATCTTGCAGTCAAACAAATGTAATTATAGCAATGAAATAATGGAACCTACATAGGTTGGCGACTCTTTTCACGTAGTGCATACAGTGTTGAATAGAATTTACCAGTCACAGCCGTCGTTGTACAAGCTTTTGTGTTTCAATAATTTCAATATGATATTTATTTTTTTACTTTATAACAATTATACTTAATCATTATAAACAAACTACCTATTCCTTGATAGAAATTACGATTTGTTTACAAATGCAGGTTCTAAATGTAATCCTAATCCGTGCAAAAATGGAGGAACCTGCGAAGAATCGAATTCATACACAGGAACCGGAACTGAATTCAAGTGTACATGTCCCGAAAGGTATTCCGGAGAAATGTGTGAAAGTAAGCATATTTTCTATTGAAACCATTCATGTTTAATGTATAAACGTTGGAAAACCTAAAACAAATCTTAAAGAAGTGTTTATTAATTGGACTACTGAAACTACTGGCAGCAGTTGTTTATATTTAAAAATGGTAACATAATGAAAATGTTTATAAAAAAAATAATTTAATTAAGTTGATAATTACTTACTTTACAAAATTTGGCATTACATATACACAGCATCAGAATCAACTAAGTTTCGCTGTATTTACAATGCTTTTTCATTTTACTTGTTTGTTACTATATTTAGTCGATGTGTGTGACAACAATGATTGTCAAAATGGCGGATCATGTATAGCAGACAAGAGCAATATACGAGGATATAATTGCAGCTGCGTAACAGGTTTTCTTGGAGAAAAGTGCGAAGGTGAAATGTATTTAGCCCATTATTTAAGGATAAAATGTTGCTATAACAAAATGTCTTTCTTTGGTTGTTAGTACGGGAATTAATGTAGCAGCTGTGGCAGAAAAAATACATAATCCGCGTAAGCGTGTTATTACGTGGGTTACGTTAATTTTTCTGCCACTTCTGCTACATTAATTCCCGTACTAACAACTAAAAGAAGACATTTTATTGTTTATATTTACATCTGTTTGAAAAAAAAAAATGAATATGTTAAATATTGTAATATTGATAAATATTTCGCTGCATGCTTAACTGATGGAACAGCCATCATTCAAGAAATCTGTGCACGTGGCTTGCTGAGTGTCGTTCATGCACGGAATAATGGCAATGGTCTTTATAAAAAATAAAGGAAAAATATTCAGTGGATGTAAATATATGGGCGATAAAAAACAGTATTCAAGCTCATAGTCACTAAACATTAAATAGGAGCAGAGCAAATACAGAGTTCAGAAACATCAGGGGTGGGATCAAGTGCCACGGAGGAGTCGGCATCCTCTGCCGACCGATCACACATGTCTTGTGCTTCTTGTCATGATCGAGAAACGCAGTACTGTTAAGGCTTCCCGGAGCTTAAAATGCCATTTAAAACGTAACACTGCATTGCAAAGTTGATTTTGAGTTTTTTTTTAAGTTATGTACTTAAGAAGTTCATAGAGAGAGTTCTCTAGGCTATATATAAACGTATTTGTTACGATATCACATGACCTTTTTGATCACGTGACGGTCATTTCTCCTGTCTTGGAATGTTTCACATAAATCGCTTCGGCGCAGTTTATTAACACAATTATTATTAACTTTCTATCTCATAAATAAACTCGTTGCATCCTTGTGAACCCGAAATGTGCTTGGGAAAAGTTATACTATTTCTTTGGTACAAAATATTTCACATCAATTTTATTTTACCGACAAATCTGAGGGTATTTTCCGCTCAATCTCGTCATCTGTTTTAAAACAAAGCCACCATACATTTTTCCCAAGCAGGATTCAGTTAGAGGGGAAACTCCTCTTACATATTTCCACAAAAGATATTAAATAAATATTGAATAAATCCTTATTAATAACCTGCGCCAGGCTCATTTATACACATATTATGAATTCTGCCTCTGTCAACGGGTATAAAAAAGTCTAAATGTCAAACGTATATTTTCGTACGTAGTTTGAACACGCTGACTCTTAAACAGGAGTAATAAGTAGTGAGTATCTAATTATTCGGATATATTATATTTTTAAATAAGTGATTAAGATTACGTTTATTTTAAACTAGCATTCTGCATCTTTATATGCAGATTGAAATAACGTGTAAAGTTTATGACACTTTCCCCATCATTACAGCTCAAGTATGCAGTGACTTGACGTCATTTTCAATTATGACGTCATACATTTGTAGTTCAGAGAAGTGCTTGCACAGAGTACACTACAATATGCTCTGGGAAGCCTTATCGTACCTGCGAAAAGGAGAAATCCGTCGTCAATTCAATGTTTAAATAATGGACTAACAATTAATTTGAAATACGTCAACCAGCACTGGATTTAATGTTAAATTGTATTTGCTTAGGTCATTGTATCACCCATAGAACATACGAGATGGATTTAATGGAGACTAAATGTGTCTTAAAACGTTATCCCTTATCTAATATTCATAAATTACATTTCAATAAAAACCTTTTTTTTCTTTCAACGTACATAAACTGCTTTGAAAAAAGAACTTTTTTTTTTTGAAAAAAAGTTCGCATTTTAAGATCGAAAATATCGAGGTCAAAATTATCTTGCTTATAATTTTAAAGAAATATTTGTACATATTTTTATTTTCAACAATAGGTCGTTCCTGTCGTTTTGAAGTTGAGAATGACCCAGCTTGCTTTTTGAATGCTGATAATGAAAATTGGTTTAGGAAAATGGTAAAAATATGTTTGAATAAGCAATATTTTATGTAATTTTACCATTGTCATAATGGAATCAAACATCTTCAATAAAGATTTCTATGGATGAAGTTCTAGTGCACAATGAATGATGAATGATTGGTATATAATGATAAATTTCAAATCTGCTGTAACGAAATAAATTGAATTTTCTACTTATTGAATTGAACCTCATTTTTATTTGATGAATTATTGTACCAAGTTGACATCATTATTATTTCAGGGAGCAACTTCCTCAAGTGGGACAGGGCCTTTATATGCATTTGACGGATATTACTATTTTTATTTCGAAGCAACCCGTCGTACAGCTGGGGAATCTTATTACATCTATGATAACAATATTAGATTTGAGAGTAAGTTTTAGAGGGAATACTTCTAAGGACGATTTCCCCCTTAAATTGGACTTTCAGTAGGGCGTTGCATTATCGGCGCTACGTAATGGCGAATACAAGTGGATTCCCATTGGTTAAGAAATTGATAACGATGAGACGATTTATGCCCAAACTCTGAGACAGGAGAGATCTTTTAATTGGCTATATACTATACCAGTTGGCATTTGGCCGATTTTCTATCCTGTGTATATTTCAACAATGAAGGAAAGCTGAGCGAGAATGCCACGCCTTACAGAATGTCCCATTTAAGCTGGTAATGGTCATATTTGTGCATTGCATATTACATTGAAACAAACATACACTTATTTATTTTCGTTAAACAAGTAAACATGAATCAAGAGAAAAGAATTCAACTGACATCGATTCTCATATATCATTGACAGACTGCTTAATGATATTTCTATTAACATCAACAATATGATTGAAAAACTGGCCGCGTTGATTTGATTTCAGTGTCGAAATTGATGAGCACAGCACACATTTAATTTTTACTGCTGAAATTTTCTTTAGTACTTGTGATGATTAAAATTTTCAAGTATTACAAGAACTAATTTTTTTGTCGAATTTAGCCATTTGTTATTTTTAAAGGCTTAATAATTTAATATTACATATATTTATATTATTAGCTCACCTGAGCCGAAGGCTCAAGTGAGCTTTTCTAATTAAAATTTGTATGTCGTCGTTGATGTAACTTTTTCACATTTTCAACTCATGTGGAATCATCCTCAGGTAGTGTAGATTCAAATTTGTTCAAATCATGACCCCGGGGGTAGGGAGGGAACCAAAATGGTCAATCAAAGTTTAACATAAGAATATATAGGAAAAATCTTTGAAAATCTTCTTCTTAAGAAGCACTGGGCCAGGAAAAATGAAACTCATGTGGAATCATCCTCAGGTAGTGTAGGTTCAAATTTGTTCAAATCATGACCCCTGGGGGTATGGTTGAGCCAAAATGGCCGATCAAAGTTTAACATAGGAATACTTAGGAAAAATCTTCAAAAATCTTCTTCTCAAGAACCACTAGGCTAGGAAAGATGAAACTCATGTGGAATCATCCTCAGGTAGTGTAGATTCAAGTTTGTTCAAATCATGACCCCCGGGAGTAGGTGGGGCCAAAATGGCCGATCAAAGTTTTACATAGGAATATATAGGAAAAATCTTCTTTTCAAGAACCATTGAGACAGGAAAGATGAAACTCATGTGGAATCATCCTCAGGTTGTGTAGATTCAAGTTTGTTCAAATCATGACCCCCGGGGGTAGGGTGGGGCCAAATGGCCTATAAAAGTTTTACATAGGAATATTAAGGGAAACCTTTTAAAATCTTCTTTTCAAGTACTTCAAAGCCATACTTGTTGATATTCATAGGGAATCATCCTCAGGTAGTGTAGATTCAGGCTTGTTCAAATAATGACCCCCTTGGGGTTAAAATTCAAGCCCTCTCTCCCCAGTAAACTTTTAGTTCTGATCTGATATGTGCTTTTCCTAGCCAATTGCTCAGGTGAGCGATGTGGCCCCTGGGCCTCTTGTTATATATATATTATGTAATAGTTAGATCATATTAAGCAAAATTTTAGTGGTTAAGAAGGTGCGGAGAGAGCGAAGCGACCGAGCCCCCTTCTTAACCACTAAAATTTTACTTAATATGATCTAACTTACTTAGAACCTATCGCGCTTTGTCATTGGCTTATTAGTCAGCCCGCGGAGTTTCTGTATAAACATAAAATCTTAACAATTAAGTGATCAACTTAATAGAAAATTTAGCAGCTGCTGACTGGAGGACAAATCGGGTTAGGTTCTAATATTATATATATTAACTTATTATTATTATTAGACAAGACCTATTGCCTCAGCCTGGCGTATCACATGTATGGAATCGGCATGGGGACATTTGTAATCAGTACCTCCAGTAAAGCCCTCGGATATAAGCAACACTTTTCCGTCACTGGAAATCAAGGGGAAAAATGGCATAATATTGACGTCAATCTACCTCTTAATAAAGACACTTGGGTAAAACACATTTTTCAAGTATATGCAATGGACAATATTGTTAAATTTTCATGAAAACGCAAATTTTTAAATATTCTTTTCTGTAGTTCAAAGCAATTTATATAGAAAACGTTACCAATCTTAGACTAATTTGAAGTTTATATATTTAATGCAATATTTAATGCAATACAAGAATTAATACCATGATCAAAAACAATTGAGATTTTTTTTAACTTACTGTTTCTATATGAAGAAATTTATGATAGAAAGGTCAGGTATCATAGATATAATTTTTGTTATTTTGGTGCCGTTTTCCATTCGTTTTTTATTCGCTTGTTTTGCAATATAATTTGGTATTGTTATGTCTGAAATCCTGCTATTTTCTTATATTCGAATTAAACTACATCACAAGCTTAGAGTGTAGATAATCAAATATTGAAAAGTACATATTGACTGAAAAGGCTTTGAAAAGTAAAAAAAATATTAATTGTATTCAAAACTTTCTTTAATTCAAATTAAATTCAATACCATCAAAATTGAAGAAAGTAATACTGTTGACAAAAGATATGGTACAAGGGCTGATCCAAAAATATTTTCATTTCTATTTTTTTCTCTATGATAACTCTTTGAAAATTAGCGGAGTTGATATCTTGATAATTCTACAGGAATGTAAATTAGGCATGTCGATAGGTCAGGAGCTAAGGAGGCCTAATATGCATTCAAATTTCGTGCGCATCTGTCTCTGTGTCTGATGCTCAGGAGGCCAAATATGCATGTAAATCTCGTGCGGCTGCCTTTTCATTTGAAGTCAGTGGGCGAGGACAATTAAAATTGACATGGGAGTCCTCGTGCAATTTAAATCAATGTCTACATTTTTAAAATCTAAATGTACAATTTTTTTCATATTGAAATGGAAATAAAAGGAATCATTGTCTAGTTATTATAGTATGCCAGGGACATCAACGATAGTGGGAAACATAAGATAATTTATCCATATTTCCCACTATCGTTGATGCCCTGGCATACAATACTAATTAGACATTGATTCCTTATATAATATCACAACTTTTATAAATTTGCTATAAATCGACGTAAAGCAAGAAAATTATACATAATGGAAGAAGCTTTTCTAATTTTAGTTCAGACCTGAAAAATTCAAAGGAATATGATGTATACTTTTTCAAAATATCGGATGTTAAACAACGTAAATTTATGGCAGTCGCCGCGCCTGAATATAACGTCATGTGACAGATAGGCAGTGTCATACTTGTAAGTGTTTTCCCTTCGTTTCATTAAAAATATTTGTGATTCGCAAATACTTTCACCAAATTCACTTTCTATAAGAATTCTTGGTACCATTATACACTCACTCTTTTCATAATTTAGCCCTCTGTCAAACGTTTTTGAACAGTAGCATAAGACAAACTTAAAATTCACATGTCATTCTATATAACGTCTGTTTTTTAACAGCATCAGACATTATCGAACGTTTCTGTCCGATCTCCCATTCGTCTTGTCCACAGGTATTTGTGGATAGGACCCTTTCCCAATATTTAACCCCGGGTATTATGAGCATTTTTTTTTTTACAAATCATACTTATTACAATTCATTATGTGAACAATAAGAAAAATCGTAAAAAATCTCAAATTATCGCTCCATAAAAAAAAACGTATTGTACTTCTCTTCTAATGTACAGTAGAGTATTTTTTGTGAAGCGATTATTTCGGAGTTTTGACGATTTTTTCGTATTGTACACATGACGAATAAGTGCAATAAATATAATTTGTGAAAAATGCCCAATAAGCCCAGGGGTTGAGTATCGGGAGGGTGGTCCTGTCCACAAGTACCTGCGAATGTGTTTGTATTCTTCATTTAAGAAAATATACACTTTAAAACGTGACGTTCGGTTGTGACGCAGCGATACCCCCTGTGCTCTATGTTTCAAACATCTATAGAATTATATGAAATAAACATTATTAAATTTTAATTTCAATGTTAATTAGATTCATATTTGCGCATTATTTGGGTTTATCGTATCTGTTAATATGACGCCAAATATAAAAGATATGGACACTATGACATTACTTTTGGATCAACCCTCGTAAATATCTTTTTATCTTAAAAATTTGTCCCTGTGATATGCATGTATATATTACTGATTAAGCGGAATGTTTAAAGTGAACTTAATATTGAATTAAATTTGAACCTGACTTTTTGTTGATAGAATTACATTGTATTTTTTTTATATTTAGATTTATATTGTGGCAATCAGAGGAAAAACGTACATGAATGACATTGCAATCGATGACGTCATTCTCATGCCATCCCCTTGTTCACCATGACTTTATAAAAGAGAAAGAACGATTGAACAATTTAGATTATAATCAAATGATTTATATGACTAGATAATATGTATGGAGTCCTTTCAAATAAATATTTTTTGTAAAGTAAATTTTCAAGTTAATGAATAATTTCTAACATTGCCTTCATAGTACATTTACCGTTTTATACATGTAACTAGATTTTCTGGCATTTGCTATCGATCATTTTCTCTTTTTTTTTTTTGCCTTAAAGATATGTTAATATTTCTCAGATATTTTAGGATACTGTTGGTTACTGGTTACTTGGTTACTATATTCTTTGTAACTCTTTATATTGATGTTTATATAAGCGTACTAAAGTTTGTTAATTTTTAAATTCATATATTCATAATAAAAACACATGTTACCCTCTTCATTTTGTTTCAGTATTTATTTAGAATAAACAATACTGATTTATCGATTTTAAGTTGCTTTATTCCCCTGTTGAGAAATTTTCACTCAAATAGAGAGGTTACCGTATACTGAAGAAATACTTCAAATTAAGACATTTACTTTGCATTCAGGCCATTTTAAAACAGTAAGGATTTTTAATCATGCCAACGCTTGCCGCGACATCTGATACGCTTCTGGGTACCCATTTCCTATCCACAAATTCCCCCAATACCACTGAAAGAAATTTGATAAGACTTCCACAGAATCTTTAAGACATATTGTACTTGTGCACCTCCTATTTTACTTTTTATCCGACACATATTTCTGGTTTCCCAAAACAAAACAAATGGACACTGCCATTGTTTTCATATGGGAGAAGGAAGTATCATTAAGTGAGCTCATTGCTCACAGTACTTCTAGTGTTGAGGTGCAGAAGCCTAGCAAAGAAATAATTAATACGTATTTCTATCGCTTTTGATCGGTACAGTCACACATCCTTCCGATTATGTTGCCAGCGTTCTACTAACCGATCTTCCATGTTCTTGTTTTCCACTTATACGAAGACGTCTGATGAGCTGCAAATCTGTCCTATACTCGGTACTCAAGGCCATTCTTTTTCGTGCCATCACCTACTGCAACACGGGATCTCGATTTATACAGTCTTTTCTTAAGGACTGGTCTTAACTTTGTACAGTGGGATTCGAACCTGCGACATAAAAATCAACTCCTTACTTCGCAATTCTACAGCAGACGCTCTGAACACTGCGCCACGTCGAGGAATCTTCTTTATATAATTTAGTATATGACACCAAGAGTTAAAATCTTAAAAATCGCTTCGGAAAAAGGATTGTCTTTTCCTGGAGTAATAGTTAGTATTTTATTTTCACAATGTAAAATGCTTCACATGACCTGAGTTATTTATAAGCTGTTTATTAAAAATGTACCACATTTCATATTTATAATACAAATCTGGTGATTAATATTATTGATGTGGAACTTTAAAAAAAAAAACATTAACTTCATGGAAAATAATTTGCAATATAATACTTTACGCAAATATTGATTTTAAAAGTTTATTTATTTACATGCTTACATTGTAAAATGCAGGTATTTAGTTCATGATTTATGATCAGCATATTTAAAAAAACGTGTATTGTATTCTCCATGGATAAAATGTCTTTCCACATTTATTTCAAAGTTTTCGTCACGGCGTCTACTTATACTTCCTTAAGTCATAAAAGCAGGAGAGGTTGCTATTACTCATACACTGTCTAACCCCAAATAAAGCCATCAGTTCTACAAAAGATAATAATTTTGTAGATACTACGGATGGGTTGAAGTTCAACCTACAAGGTGACCATGGATTGAACAATATTTTATCTGGATCACAGGTGTCCAAACCAGGAACAACTGAATTTAATAATTCGAGTCCATCAACAGTCTTTTCTGGTCCATTCCCCCTCTGATTCTAATATGTTCAAGCTTGTCATAAAGCAATCGAATAGGAAATTGTTTTGTCCACGAAATTACGTATCCTCGAAAAACTTATATTTAACAAATGACACGAAAAATGATGCCAACGAAAATTATGAAACCATTTGAAATTATAAACATGGCCATTTTATGCATAAAGTGAGCCTAGCCAATTGTACTCCGAGTGGCAGAGGAAATGGAAAGACACTAAAATGTAATTCAAAAGAAAGAAAAGACACTACAAACAATTATTACAAGATTTCACAGGACAGATAAACAATCTCCAAAGCACACAAGCGTTGTGAAACGGCATTCAATTTAAGACAATTTAAGTTTGCCAGGTACAATGACCGTGTTAATCCTATTCCAGGTATTACGCAGAGGGGACAAGTGCCAGTACCCAAAGATGTTCTCATACTTGAAACACGAAGACGTGTTCATTTGGAGGAAGGGTAAACTATCACCCTGTGAAATGCATGCCAGGAACTTAACACCTTCTTCCCTGTCATGCCGCGTTGAGTGTCTTTACTCTGAACAATTCAAGTGACATAACAGATGTATTTTATATAATTTATCCGTTAATTGATATCTTTATGTATTTTTCTTCCTTTGAATAATTCTTTTGTCAAAATATTACTTTGTCATCTTTATATTAATGGTTATGTAAAATATTTGGCAGTTGGAGAGCGACATTAACTTGATCTGGCGGATGATGCTTTTCGCAAAAGGCGCTTTATATAATACTCAGCCAAATGTTATACGTTTACAGTAATTCATTCATTGGTGTACGAATTCTTTATCTACATGCTTGCACGCATGATTTTTTTTATCGTTTTGCTATGACTACTGCATTTACAATACAAATCACCCAGCATTTTTTGTAAATTTGCATGGAAAAATTAATTTCCTTCATAGCAGATAGACTTAAAATTAATTTAAAGAATAACTGTCTAATTGTTTGATTTCATGATGTGATCAATCGATTGGCTTGCGTGATAATTATTAAGCAAGACAATCGAGTGATCATCGTCATGAAATCAAAAAATCTGACAGTTACTCGTTATATTTACATGCTGTTGATTCTGCTAATCCATGTACTCTAAGCCCCGCTTCTGTCTTTCTTTGTCCCGCCCTGCACGTGATCTTTGTTAAGTGTAACTGCGCCTACCGATGAACCGGTGCATTTATAGAGAAATAAAGTACATTATATGTAACTATTTGTAATTTCATCTCGACCAAATACAGAGGAAATTTAAATATTTATGTTTGAAAATGGTATCTAGTCCGATTTATATTACTCTTTTCCATTTCTGTACATGTCGAGTAATGAAATGAATTCTCTCAATGTATTTGGTTATATCATTTTCTATATGACCCACGCGACGCAGTGGTTACAGCGTCTGTTCCAGAGTCGCAAAGTAAGGAGTCAATCCCTACGTCGCGGGTTCGGATCCCACTGTGGGACGTGGAGACCGGTCCTTCGGATGATTCCCTATAAACCTAGGTACTGTGTCACAGTAGGTATTGGCACGAAAAAGATCCCTCCCCGCTCAATGGCCCTGTGTGCCGGGTATAGGACAAAATTTGCAGCTCTCCACTGGCAATTCTTGGCGTCTCCATATGAGTGAAAAATTCTCGAGAGGGATGTTAAACAATATACAATCCATCAATCATTTTCTATATGTATGGAGAACTAGATTAAAGTATGATATGGTCTTTTGTTAATGGACAAATATTTCTAAATACTAAATACGCAATCACTTTTTCCAAGTATAAATTTTACCCAGACGGAGAATTGGGAATTTTATGCAGTAGAATTCATTTAGTGAGAATATCTATAAACTAATTTTCAAATCCCTGAAGAAGGTTAATTTTGTTTTAGCAAGAATATTGACTTCAGCAAAAAAAAGAAGCACTACGTCAAATGGCTTCAGCACAATCCAGTAAGTAAATTATTTCAATAATTCTAGGTACTGAACAGTTTAGTAAATTTTTATCTTCAAAGTGTAAGAATTTTAAGAGGAAATTTTACTCAAAACGAATGATCTTTTTGTAACTTTTCTATTTTAATTGATCTTGAGAAATTGAGGAAGGATGTATGGGAACATGTTTCCCCTAAAATTTCGCCCGAAATGAAAACATTAACGGAAGAGCAAAGAAATCAAATCAATGAATTGATTAACGACTGCCATAAAAGGGTTACTGCTGTGACATCCGACCTTTCTGGCGTAGGTGAACACACACCATCTTCAGAAGTGGAACAAATGTTGAAACCTCATATTGGCAATGTTCGCATACAAGCGATTAAAAGTGCTTTTGAGAAAGAAACGTTTACGTTACACATTGAAAAAGCAAAAGATGTCCATGTGGCTAAGTTTTTTGTGCAAGGTTCTATGTTAGGGGATGAACATCCTCTTCGTTAGGAGGAACATGTAGAGCAAACTCTCGGACAACAAATTGGTAGTCTAGTTCTTGAAGTAGTTTTCCTCATCTTAGGTGTAATTGGCGTCGATTTACATTTACATGGCCCACAAGTTGAAAAGGTGATAGGCGAAATTATATCGACTGTTAATTCAGAACCTTTTAGACGGATTTTAAACCAATTTTCTTCAAGGTGTAAAAATGCAACACCTTGGCAGATAGCTAAAGCGATTTGGGAATTTATTGTCGGATGGTACGAACTCGATATCCTCCACAAAATTCTCAGCATTGTTCTCTATGAAATGTCTTGGTGGGATCGTCTTCTCGCGTTTGTACAAATTGTAGCAGAAATCATTGCAAATATTTTTACGGGGGGAGCAGCTCTAATCGCTAATTTCGTAATAGCTGCCATAAATTTTGCAAGGATGTTGGCAAAAATAGCGAACATGAGCCTTTTAGAAAGACGTAACGAGATACTACGGGTGGGCAATGTTGTTTAGAGATGATTTGAATTGTTCTGAAGAGACCACTTAAATTTTAATCACTTAATTTGAACTCCTGAATCTAGGTTTTATAAAAAGAAATATAAAACGATCTTTTCCTCAATGCCATACTTTCAATTTGCAACTTCTGAAAAAAAAGACTGTCAAAATGATTGATATCAATTTTAGCATTCAAAACAAAAAAGTCCAATTCCTAAAGGCAGAGTAATCTTATTTCTTTTAATTAAAATGTTATTTTATTTTAACAACCCGATATAATTCCAATAGGCAATTTGAGAATGTTCTATTTATAATCATCTTCTTTTCAATAGTGTATTCATATTTTAGATCTAGTGATCTTATTAAATGCAAGA